TATAATACACATTGAGTGCCAACGTTAATAAAATAGTGCTCGATGTAGAAAAACAGCGCTATAAATTATATATTAATTATACACACACACACACACACACACACACATATATATATATATATATATATATATATATATATATATATTCCTGAGCGGGAGCACAACTAAGGATGGGCACTAGTATATAAAAAACAAAAAAATTGTTTTTTAATTAGCATCACCCTAAGCAAGGCAGTAATGACCTTAAAACACAAGGGGTTACAGGATATGGAAGAATTAGGAACAGAAGAATTAATGATAAGCAGAAAGAGAAGAGTGTTATCAGGTGGACAGTAGATAGCGATTGACATTGCATTTAAAGTTTTAGATGGTATCATCCCAAGCAAGTTAGTAATGCCACTAAAACGCGACGTTTCACAGGATATGGAAGACTTGGAACGCCTCCCAGGTATTTAAAATTCCGTGTCTGCAAGATTCTAGTGTTCCCGACCTGCACTTCGCATTTCGGGCTCATTCTTTTATTGATGACCACACATTCTGTTTTCTTGTAGTTTATGCTTAGTCCGTTCTTCACACTCTCTGTCGCTACCTTCAACATCAAGAACTCCGACAGGAGTGAGGAAAAGTGAGAAGAAAGAACTAAACATAAACTGCAAAAAGACAGGCTACAGTAGATGGAAAGTGTGACACTGAAACCCGAAGGCGAAATGGAATAGCGAAAGATGCCTTTCAAAAATCAAACAAAGAAAGAGGAAAATTTCATTAGAAACTAAGAGTACTTATCTAAGAGCCTTATGTAATATCGATCCTTCTATATGGCAGTGAGTGCCGGACAAACCCCTCAAAGATAAAGAAGCTTGAAGCAAGAGAAATATAGTTCTACAGAAGGATGCTGAGAATACCATAGGATGAACATGTGAGCAACGACGAAGTTTTAGTGAAAATGGAAACAAAAAGGGCACTAATAATTTTTTTTAATCGGTATCATCCCATGCAAGGCAATAAAGCCCCTAAGACACAAGGGGGTTTACAGAATGTGGAAGAATTAGGAACAGAAACATTAATAAAGAGAGGGAAGAGGACAGAGTAATCAGAAGGACGGTAGATAGCGGTTGACATTGCATTTAAATGTTTGTAGATTAATGTTGGCTGGAAAGCAGGGGATAGGAATGTAGTTCCACAGGCGTGAAGTGCGAGAAAAGAAACTCTTAGCATAGAATTTACGGTTCTATCAAACCAGCTGAACTGTAAACCGATGAGATCTTGGCGTCAGTCTAGTACTGCGCAGAGCTCATCCGAACAATTACAATGAAAGTATTGCTAGAAAAGGCAAAGGGAGGCAACCTTCGAATAAACGAAACACTACGCAGCATTTCAAAACTAATTTAAATTGACTGGAAGGAATTTTCGTTTGGAAATTTCTCAAAACATTTTAATTTCGTGCCATTTTTAAAAATGTAATTCTCTTTATAAAAAGTCTTTCAAACATAAAATATACTTTTCTGAAACTTTATTTGAGGAATATTAGCTGATTTAAAGTATAATTAATCTGACTTAAAACAAATATTATTTACTTTCAGTTTAAAAGATCGCAGAAATGCCTTTTTTTAACACAGCGTTAGCTGTTTATTCATGTTAACAGGTAGTTGACAGCTCGATAGCAGATACAGTTTTACCTAATGTTTTTCTACGGGGTTTTAATCGGTAAAGAATAATGAAATATTCTAACGTGTGCACATTTTAAGTACCAATTAAAGTTTAAAACTTAAGAAAATATTCTCCGTCATCTAATGTTGTCATATAGGAAGGAAATGAGTAACTACCGACACTAAGGTGACACTCTGGACTTACGAATATATATTCTCCGCCATTTGTATAAATAGCGGTGTCAGGCTACTGACTGCAATGACTATTGAGTGGAACTATCCAGTCGAATTAGTGTGAATTATTGTGCGTTGATGATTTGAGTTTGGATTTAGGATTTACCGTGCTACTAAGAAGGTATTCACTGAAATAGTTGATTATCATGGGTTGACTTTTACTTTGTTCTTAAGTATTTATTCGTGGTTGTAATTACTGTTTTATCTTTTGAAGTTTTGAGTATTTGTCTATATTTCTGAGATGAGGTATTATGTACACTATTTACATTGATCGGACTATATTCCTCATCTTTGATGCCATATTTATCACAACGTTTCAGTCGTTGTACGTTCCAGCCTTCTTCAGGTGGTTGCGATGTCGAACTGAACCCTTTATTACGCTCACTGGGGATAGAATGTTTTAGTTCCACGTGCCATGTCTAATGGATGTCAATTATCAGTTATCTCCTGTTAATTTCCCTCTCCAAGATTTCCATCGCCTTAACCACGAATTGAACCCAAACTCTTTGGGTCCTGTCACTGGATCTAACTAATGCCTTTATCCACTATAGAACAGTCTACCCCAGCGAGCAAAATAAAGGGTTCAGTTCGACATTCCAACCACCTGAAGAGGACCGGAGCATACAACGGCCGAATAAAAAAATAAAATATAACAAAAAATGAGGATGATAGTTTGAGCAATGTAAATATTAAAGTTTTGAGTTATAATTTAATTATTAACGGTATCATTTTTACATCACAAAAAATATCGTTATATATATATATATATATATATATATATATATATATATATATATATATATATATATATATATATATATATAAAGTACACACCTTTATCATAAATTAAAAAATAAAATACAAGTATTAAAAAAAATTGAATGTAATTAAAAGAAATCATATGAAAAGCGACTAGTCATTGGGCGTCACAAAAATATCGTTATATCATATATATATATATATATATATATATATATATATATATATATATTAACTACACACCTCTAGAAATGTCATAACATTAAAAATAAAAAAAACAAGCACTAAAAAAACTGAATGTAAGAGGAATTATATGGAAAGCGACCAGTCACTGGACTTGTTAATTCGACTCTGGCAAATTATTAAAGATTAGCCAACCAATCAACAGAGGGCGTCCCATGCCAACATTATGAAGCTCACGGGACCCTGTTTTATGGTGTGTAAACGTGAGCTGTGAATAAAAGCGGATGGTGGGCCGTTTCTACTTGGCTGACTTTCAGATTGCTGATTTATACCAATCGCAGAAATGTCCAGACCTTAAAAGAATTCCAGATAAAATAATTTATGTTGGACTCACATTATTGTATTAACAATAAATTTAGATGAAACTTTTGTCCAACTACAGTTCTTGATTCCGCCATTGCAAACATCTTCAGCTCGGACCCAATATGTCTCGTTTACTGAATCGACCTACGTTCATTTCCTTCAATTCCTTTGCTATCTTGATTTTGAACTTTTTTCAGCTATACCCTGATGTTAACGCGTCTCAGACAACAGCCATTTTTTTTCTTCTTTCAATCTTAACCAATCGACTACTCCGTACTGTTAACGAGTTTTAGACAACAGCCATTTTTTTTTCAATTCTAACCAATCAGCTACTCCGTACTGTTAACGAGTCTCAGACAACCGCTATTTTTTTTCTTTTCTTTCAATTTTAACCAGTCAGCTACTCTGTACTGTTAACGAGTCTCAGACAACCGCTATTTGTTTTTGTTTGTTTTTTTCTTTCAATTTTAACTGTGCTGTAAAAACGTTTCAGTCAACCGCCATTTTTTTTTCAACCATAACCAGTCAGCGAAACTGTGCTTTTGACTCGTCTCGACAGCCGTCATTTTTCTCTTTTCTTTCAGTTTTAACCAATCAGCTGCCCTATAGGTTAGCAATAATCAAAATGTTGTTTAAACTCACCGAAATCAAATGAGGACTGTTGGTCTTCTTCGGCAGGGGGTACTTTGGCTTCAGCTTGAACAAATGAAATTCTGCTTGTAAAATACGTTCGTTGCTTTCCAGAAATGAGACGTTATAAAAGAAGTGCATCTGATGGCGATAATCTGCAAGAATGCAAAGAGTTAGAAAAGTTGTGCTTGCATGAAAAGACATAAGTTTAATTAATTCGATTTACGCATAATGTAAACGGAATGTAAATCATGCAACATGACCTAAACCGTGTCTTCGTTTTGGGAAGAATTTATTATTAATGGCTTGTGAAAAGAAGCTCCCTAAATGCTATATGATGCGTAGCGTCCACATCTCTCTCTCTCTCTCTCTCTCTCTCTCTCTCTCTCTGAAAAAATCATTTCTAGGTCACCTTATTGGCTCATGTTTAATTATTCCTTCTTTCTTT